CTGGCCCCAGTTTGGCCCCCTCAGTAAAAGTGGTCTAGAACCACCACTGTGTCTGTCTTCAGATGTCCTATCAACAAAGGCAACAGCCAAAAGTCATACTGATAATAATACAAAAAAAAACCTATAGAAGTTTTCGAGGGCATAGTAGATGGTAATAAATATTCAACTCTTGCTGAGTAAGAATCTTAAATCTTAAGAACAGTAACTTTCTAGGAGCTTGTTCAAGTGTAAGAATCGACCTAACAGATTTCTGCCTCTGGGAAGGATGTTTTTTCTTGCCACTGGAACCTTGCTAAGTGTGTGCTCATGATGGATTAATGTTGGGTCTTTTTAACATAATAATCAGTAAGGTGTTTTACCTTATTCTTAAAGGCTTAATATGCTATTTTTCACACTTAAATGTAATATAAATCAAGTATATCCTCTGAAAATAACTCTGTGAGTCATGACTGTCTACAATGGGTGTAACACCCGAGTCCCACTGTCTGTGATGTTTTCAGAGTTTTCAGAGTCCTATCTTCACTTTGTTTACATTGCCCGGACGGCCGGCTGACTCCTCCCCTCGAGTATAAAAGTAGTTTAATTGAGGGACTAGAGAAAAGAAGAATAACATACTGTACTCACTGCTTAACTGTGTTTCTAGATCACGCTCATTTCAGGTAAATTTACATGCAGTGTGAAGATACGAGCATAATAAAGATCACTAGCATTAGCATGCTAACACAACAATACACTGCAAGTTGTTTTGGTTTCATGCTGGTGCTCAAGGGCGACATCTACTGGATCAGAAAATCACATATAAAGCGAGTGAGATAACATTTGTTATGAATTGGCGCTATACAAATAAAGATTGATTGATTGATTGATATCAAAATAACCCCATCAAAATCATTAAAACCAGGAACAATCTATTGAATGGTTTTATGGTTTTTTAACCAAAAAATCACACAAGCTGGATTTGTTTTGGTTATGTTCAAGGATATTGAAGATTAGAGCCCAGCCTGGGATGCAGTGCTGTGGAAAAAAATGTTTCCTACTGAAATATTTTTGTAATAAATAATATCAAATTAAACAATGGAAGATAAACAAGTAGATTTTTTTCCTAAATGAGACTTCGTCATTTGTATTCTGAGTATCCATTGACAACAAAATAAAGAATGTGTATAACAGTAGTGCCTGTCAAGCAGTTTTAGGTCATACATGTTTTTTGTTGCTATGTAAATTAGGCAACCAGACTGCTTCAAATACAACAAGGTAGATAGTGAGGTGTAGATAGTGAGATATAAATATCTCACTATATATCCTAACAAACGTGTCAATCTCACTCTCACTTTTAAAAGACTTTAACACCATCAGTCACGATCGCTATCCTTTGCTCAGTGCATCACAACTTCTATCAACATGCAAATTGTGTTCAGAGCGGTAACCATAGCGACGCATGGCACATTTTGAGTGAGAGCTCGGTTTTATCTCCAAGCTTTTAACCCCTGATGAGCAAGAGGAATAGCTTGAGATCCTCTGCCTCCCCTGGCAGATCCACAGTCTGAGATGACGTGTGTGAGCTATTTCTTTAAGTACTGTGGGTGGCTGTGGCTCAGTAGGTGGAGTCATCGCCTCTCAACCCGAAGGTTCGATCCCCAGCTGGGCAACATGTCCAATGTGACCTTGGATTGAATTGATTCCTCTGCTTTGGTGGTGTATGAATGGCATTAGTTACTTCTGATGGATGATACTCCATAGTGATCACTACTATATAAGCACCTGCCATGCGATCCCGCGAGGGGAAATTCGTTTTTACACTCTGTCTAGTTAACATGCTACATAAACATAGACACACACAACACACACACATGCACATGCACACACATGCACAAACAGGATCCTATAGACATGCACTAATGGAGAGGTCTCAGAGTGAGGGGGCTGCCCACAGTGGGCGCTCCTGAGCTGGTGGGGGGGCTAGGTGCTTTGCTCAAGGGCACCTCAGCAGTGCTCAGGAAGTGGACTGGCACCTCTCCAGCTACCAGGCCAATTTCCGGATTTCGTCCGTGCCAGGACTTGAACCATCGACCCTCTGATTCCCAACCCAAGTCCCTACAGACTGAGCTGGTAGTGATGTAACGTAAACACCACTCGGGCCTCTGCAGGAGACCCACTAGCACTAATCAGCTGTCAGTCGAACACCAACAAGAGGAAGCGTTGGTGTTACAATGATGTATTGTTCCCTCCCATGCATGAGGTGCAGGTTTGAACAGGCCTTTCAATCTCCATCATGTCAGAGCAGAATACAACCAGTGTGATGAAGGAGGAGGGCGGGTCTGTGTGTGAAGCTGTCGGCCCACAGAGGACATTTACACTAATACACCATGTAGAGGAGACGACTCACAAGTATAAGAAAATAATGGATTACTTTGGGGGGGGAAATAATATACCTGCTTAATAGACACTTCAAGAAATGAGAAATAGGATTCAAAATGACTACATATATACATTTAGGATGCTGAAGTTTTGTAACATAGGGTGATGTTTATTGTCGTAATGAATTGCATTAGATTAGTTTGAATATTATAAATTTGATATATTCTGTACAGTATGTAAAAAATATATTTTATTATTATTATTTTATTTATTTATTATTTTACTAATACTTTTTTTTTTTGGTACATTGTTATGTCTGCTCAATGCTCCATGTCTGTCCTGCATGATATACATTTTATATATTAATCAAATGCTGCTTTATGTGTATCCTGCATGGTTTATGTATTTTCTTCTGTGACTGCTTACCTGTCTGCTTAATTACTGTCATGATATTTCCATTTGTAGCTTTTAGCGATGTTTGAATTTGTTTTTTTAGGGAGCCTTTTATAAAATCTGGCCAGGGACAACAGATGAAAATTTGCCTTTTGGCTAACTCTGGCATATTTACCGAAATGTTCATGAATATGCAATGTCCCTGTAAAAAAATAATAATAATTACAATTTTGGGAGCGCCGACAACCTATAGAGGTTATGTCACGTTCCCCATGTACAGATTCTTTAGTCCTCGTAGCAGTGGCTATGGGTTTGAATCCGACCTCGGCCCTTTGCTACATGTCTCCCCCACCCAACACTTCCTGTCTACCTTCAGTTGTCATAAAATAACTTTAACAAAAAATATCCATGTTGGGTTAGCTGCTTTTGAATTATACGGCATTCAGCATTTTACTATTCTCTTATTCAGCCATGTTGTGTGACTTTAGTTCTTTATTTATCGAATAGATATACTGTTCTTAAATCCTATAATTGATTATGTTTGGAAAGCTCCTTAAAGTCCATTAATACAATTAAATTTAGGATCGCTTATTACAAGTCATCTCAGATTGAACTACTTTATTAGAGGGTAAACACATTTTGAACAGTTTCTGTGGAAAGAATGAGGAACTAACTAGTTGTCCAGTGAGTAACTCCTCTTCACATATTATAGAGTAACTAATGATTATTTATCAGAGAACAACGTGTGGCATCATACTGGGTAGTTACTCAGTACTGAATCATTACCTTAACATGAGTTCTTCTTTTGTTTACCCTTTAGTAAAGTGAGATCCATAATGATAGATCCTCATTTGTTCCCTATAGTAACTATGCAACATGTGTGTACCTTACTGTAAAGTGTTACCAAAACAGCTTCCTGCTTTGTAGAGAGTTCTGAAAAAAAGTTTGAAGAACTACATCCTTTTATGGTATAAAAGAAGTAAACTGCATGATACACAAGTTAATGACTTGTGAAAAACAACCTAAGAAAAGTGCTTGCTTGTAATAGTATGGAGTGGGGAGTAGACCCTGCAGCTCATTCACCCCCCCCCCGTCTTAGCTCTGTATCCATGTCCCCAGCTCTCCTCTTGTGTTGATGTTATTTGGCACCACAGAGCATGTTTTAAATCCTAAGGCTCAAGTGGACTATCTTTGAGTCAGCTGGATCTACAGACGGGGCTTCCCCTGTGGTTTTCAGATAATTACTTTCTTCCCTTATGACAACCCTATTGAATTTAGATTAGGCCAATAACAAAGCTGCGACACTGCGTGCCCTCTTCTTTGCACATTGTTAATAGGTTGTTAATGTGCCTGACCCTTGTCTAAAAAAAAATTCTTGTGGCCTCAGCTGGTCCCCTCCCTGTCCCCCCCTCTATAACCACAGCGGCTGCCCACAGGCGTGTACAACCAACACTGTGGCAAGATGAGGCTGACAGAGGAAGTCTCATCAATAATGGAGAGCTGTAGCTCAGGGAGTCGTGCAGAGGAATTGTGCTGGAGTGAGTGAGAAGTGCAGCTGGTGTGTTTGTGTCATTCCTCCAAAATGGATATTTTGAAATTGTGTTCCCCTGAGAGCATGCAAAAGAGACAGAGAGTTATTAATAGCCGATGGGCTGAGTTGTCAAATTGCTGTTTAGATGTGTGCTTTTGCATAATTTTGTATTTATTGACATTTACTTTTTGCTGTTCTGGCATTTTTCCCCCTGAGAGCTTGAGAAATAAATGTATAATGTACACACATTAATACATATGTTTTCCATATTCTCATCAATACAGGGTATACTGTTATCAGAAATATGAAACACCAGAATAAATATTTAGCTGAAGTCAGCTGCAAGTGGGATGTTCCCCTTAAAATGAGCTCTAGCTGTCAAGCAGTGTGGAACAGCACCTCCTCAGAGGAAAAGACACATGACAGTTTTCCAGATGCAAACACAGATTCCGTCACCGAGGCACTGAGGATTACCCAGTAGCTGCGTCTCCTCCCAACTGCCACCATGCTTATTCCCTTCCGTCAATGCCTCTCATTGTGTGAGGAAGAGGAGGCCCATTCTTCCTCATGTCTCTCGTGCTCTTGTTTCTCCAGGGGACGGCTCTGAGGACGGCGGGGGGGGGGGACTGTTGGGTGTGGGTTTTGGATGTACCTGGTGACCATATAGCTTCCACTGCGTTTGACCACCTTTTCCACCACACACATCTCCTCTCTCCAGGCGGCATCAAGTGAGACTCAGAGTTGAGGTGGCAATCCAACGATACCGACGCTAGGAGGGAAGGAGGAAAGGAGGAACACACTGGAGGAGGGGCTTGCACGCTCTGCAAACAGGCAGTGAGTATCCCATTGTTCTCATTGTTGTTGGAGGAACACATTTCCATACATCTGACCCCCGCTATGCGACCCCATTCCCAAGCATTTGATGTATTTACGGTTTGGTAAATAAGAGAAAGTATTTCATCAAAGAGTGAATGCGAGATCTCGATTCCCTTGTTAGGAGGAGCCAGAGTTGTTTTTCAAATTTATGAGGATGTTTTTCACCCCTGCGTAAACTGCCTGACAGCCCAGCTGACCTTGACAGTCTTGCTCTGTATTCTTTTTTTCAACTGTCACTCATAGCATGTGGAAAAACACACTAGTGCCTTATTTATTCCGGATTTATTAAAAAGTCTTTGAAGCATCAGAGGACGTGGTTGAAGCAGAAAGGAAGATGCATGTGACAGTATTTCTTACTGTCTGTCAGGTCTCAACATTGTGGTGAAGACAGAAAGAGTTCTGTCTTCACCACAATGTTTCATTTTCACCTGGAAATTCAGTCTAGGAATTAAGGTGGAGGAGAGGGGCCAAATGATCTGACAGATCCACTTACCTCTACTGTCTATGATCCCCCTGGCTTCTGAAATGATTAGTGGCTGATATATATTTGTAGGTGTAGCACAGAGGAGCAGGAGGGAGAGGGTTGGGAGGTGAAGAAGACATAGACAGGAGGGTGTGAGGGCGTAAGAGCTAATGCTGCTGATGACAAAGCCAAGGAAATAATCTAAAGGTGTGGAGGAGCAGGCAGCAAATGATGAGATAGTGAGGAGGGGGAAAGGGAAAAAAAAAGTGTAAAAATTGCTTGTAGACGCTGTTTTCTCCTCACTCGCAAGAAAATTCTGTGATTTATTACTGGCAAGCCGGGGAAAAGAACCCAAACCTTGTACTCTTATATTGCTTTTTGCCCAGTGTGAACAAACAAAATGATAAATAAGGTAGGTTATCAGAGAGAGGCCGCAGGATCAACCAACTATTCTATAGCAGTACAAGACGTTACACTAAACTTCTGATATGTAGATAACGGGCTAAAATCTGTGGAGGGGGGAGCATGAGATCCTGCTCTCAGGATATGATTAAAAGCATATCAGAGAATTGAAATGCAACTTTCGTTAAAAGTCAGTATAGATACAGATATAGTAAGTTACAGACAGTTATGATAGCCAGTGGATATATTTGGAAATATTTTAGCTTGAAGTTGTTCAGAACAAGAAGAAAACATTTGTACGCAATCAAATACAAATCGAATAGAATCCTTGACTTTTGGAACGTCTGCCAAGAGTGTTTTAAGTCACCCATTATGCTCAATATTGCAGCATGTGCATGATGGATTGGTAAAAACATTTGGTCAGACGTTTAATTTTCAAGGTCTCACAACGATGAGTCGTAATGACTATGGTCGCCCATTGGTTTTTATCTGCAGCCATCATCAGGTCAAAACTTCATCTTAACCAATGCTTCTATTTCATATGCAATTCTTAAAGGCTTTATATGCGATTTTTTGATCCAGTAAATGTCGCACTTGAGCACCAGCATGAAACCAAAACAACTCACACTGCATTGTTGTGTTAGCATGCTAATGCTAGCGATCTTTATTATGCTCGTATCTTCACACTGCATGTAAATTTACCTGAAATGAGCGTGATCTAGAAACACAGTTAATCAGTGAGTACAGTATGTTATTCTTCTTTTCTCTAGTCCCTCAATTAAACAACTTTTATACTCGAGGGGAGGAGTCAGACGGCCGTTCCGGCGATGTAAACAAACTGAAGATAGGACTCTGAAAACTCTGAAAACATCACAGACAGTGGGACTCGGGTGTTATACTTGATTTCTATCACATTTAAGTGTGAAAAATCACATAATCTAAAACACGCTCCCATCAGCAGTCATAAAACACAAGCATGCTAAAATGATAAACAAAAGGATGAACAGCCTGCTAGATTGTTATTGTGAACATGTTGTCATTGTGGCAGTCAGCTGGTTGAATGTACCCTGACCACACAGCGTTGACTCTTGCTGGGATTAGGTTTTTGAATCAATGGGGGAACACGTATTGATTCATCTCTGTGGGCAGCTTTGCCTTCTTCAATGTAGTTTTATGAGGCTAAGATGTAGAACAACTATGTTACATTGCATTCAAAATCCCTGCATGCGATATGACTGGAGGAATCATCGCTTTAGGTCGGTGCCAAGAAGAACTGTTTGCCCATATGTGGCTTCAACATGTAAGAAAAGGCACAGCTCCATAACATCTTCACCATCATAGATTTATTTACAGTCCGTCCTTCAAGCTTAGAGCCAATAGCATATGTTATGTCATCGTTTAGAATTCATTCTCAATCCCTTTGATTGGTACGAGCTGAATTAGCACCATGCTAGTCAACAAAGCAGCCTCTCATCACAGATTTATAGACGGCCATGATTTCTGCCAGGTTGACATTAACTCTTTCAGTCTGCAGGGAACTGTTCAAATAGGACTGGCTGAAACACACTCCCTCTCTCTCACACACACACACACACACACACACACACACACACACACACACACACACACACACACACACACACACACACACACACACACACACACACTTATACGTATATGCAGATGAGACTTGTCTGTTCCTTCTGGCTGTCTCTGTAGAGCTGTCACACATGCTGCGTCTTGGAGCACCAGGAGACCAGGGTTGACTTGAATTAAACTGAGAGGATGTCCTTTCCAGATCTGCAGAGAGCCACAGAGACACATCCGCCCCCAGAGAGAGAGAGGATGAATGGAGGAAGAGGGGGGAATGGGAGGTTGGAGATGGTCTGAAGATGGAAGTTAATAAAAAAGAGGCAGGGAGAAAGTGTAATTGAGGGAGAGCGATGGAAGATGAGGTAGACACTGGGATAAGAAGACGGGAAGGGAGATGAAACTGTGAGTGTGTGTGTGTGTGTGTGTGTGTGTGTGTGTGTGATACAGAAAAAGATAAGAGGACGAGGCAGAAAGCTCACAGAGGCTATATCATTAGGCACACCTACAATATGAGTCCTCTTTTGCCGTGTGCTGGGCTTAAAGTCACAAATTTTCAAGTAGCAGTGCATATTAAATGTGTGAATATATCTCTACAACTCTTTATACCAAAACAGCGCCATGAGTTGAATCTATCTATTACAGGCATTTTTCACTTTTTATATTCCTATATTTCAATCAGGAGTGACTTAAGTAAGAGTTTACATTTTTAATTTAACAGTTTAGGAAAATATAAATATGCAATGTTTTTGTGGATTAGACTCCGTCATGATGACTTCATGCAGTCAGAGGGGTAGAGAGGCTGACAGCAGGATAGGATATCCCCCCTGTGGAGTCTAGAGACTGGTGGTGGTGATGATGATAAAAGAATGCAGGATGTGATGAGGAGTGGGTTTCTGAGGCTGTATCTGAACTCTGCTGAGCTGGAATGGAGGTGACCTGGGTGGAGGAGGGTCACAGCGATCTCACTGGAATGACAAACTGACTTTAGTAGAGAGAAAACAGGTTTTAAAATGTGACAAGCAGCAGGATGATTGGGTGAAATAGGTGGCTGGTTGGATCATTACTTAAAGAGTTAACGCCCAAAATCAGCTGATCACCAGCAGGGGGATGGTGGAAGTGCTTCCTGCTTAAACTTACGCTGTGCTCCATTATTATATTTTTATTACATCATCACGTCTCTATAGGCAGGATCCAGAGTGACGTCTTAAACAGTGGAACATCACTACAGAACAGTGCAGTTTATGTTTGGATTAACTTACAGTAAAATGATATCCCGATCTATCAACAGAAAGAGCAATTGTTAGTTCTACCCAACCTTCTTATTAACCATGAATGATTTTTCCTTTTCTTTTTTCTAGCGTTCTGCAACTCTCCCTTGCCCTGTATGATAAACCCACTACACACCTGGGTTTTTGTAGAACAAGAAATTGGAACATAAATTATTAAGTGAGAAAGTGTCTACCCAAAATGAATAAATAAATCAAACAATTGATTTGTTTCCCCTTATAACTGCAAACTTGGAAAACTTTGCAATTCCTTCTTATATTTTTACAGGGCAAGCTTGTTACGCTTGTTACTTGTTATAATAATAATTATAACCGCTAAATCTATTTCTTTGCAGCAGTTCACATGCCTTTTGATGCACACACTCTTTCTACTACGCAGAAGTCCTACAGGCTATGTATTCTCATTTAAATTTTGGAGCATGCACTGCTGAATTATTTACATTAATGATGGAATTTCAAGCATGATGCACAATCATTATATGTGATTGTTAACACTTAGGGGAAATAAGTATTTCAAAGATAATAGCACACATTTGGTTGTTTGGGGAGGTTTTAAAAGCACCATTATATACTTGGTTTACATCTAAACTACAATTATGTTTGTCCCACTGGTAATTGTATTTAGCATTAATACTTGCAAGCCATACAAGCTTAAAATGTTTGGCCTAAAAAAAAAGGTGTTAAAAAGCAGCTTACATGAAAATGCTTTGAGGACAAGTTTCAATGCATTCTTAACCTTATGCTCCACAAATCCTTTTCTAAATATAGTTTGAACAAAGGCAGACCTATGAACTCGATGATTAAGTGCCAAATACTTAAATCCATAACCTCTTTGAAACGTTCAAAACTAGAAGAAGTGTGTGAATATGAACAACATTCTTGTAAATATATTTCATACTAAAGGATTTTTTAAAAATTAAATTACTGTGTGAATCAGCTGAGAGCTGGAAAGCAAAATATGATGCGTGCAAGGACACTTGCGCTGTACTACTCAGACATGGTAAAAGTCATATTGTGAGGCTGGAAGGAGTAAAAAAAAGTGTTGTTTTATGATGCAACTGTTGGCAATCTCATTGTTATCATAAGAAATGTCTCTTAACGTTTCCCTCTTAAACACTGAATTATTCAGTGCACAGCAACCTGATTTTGGAGTGTAAACCACTCACAGAGGAGTTGTATGGCTCAGTAACAAACACAGAACAGAAGGCCAAATC